CTGCTGACTCCTACTTCTTTTCTTCTTGTACTGCCATTTCCAGGTACACAAACTGATATACTGGTTCATCTTGTAAGCCACTCGAAGCATGAATGCAAGAAATGAGAAAGATTTGAAGTTGTAGTTTAATGTAGTCTTTTCTTTCTTTTACTGTCTGTATATAGAACATTATATCTGTTGTCCATGTAAACTCTTTAAACGACTCACTTTCAAAACTTGACTATAATAATTCGAAAGTATGTAAATAAAGTAGGACCTTATCTTCATTTATTTTAGAGTACAAAAAAAAAATAGAAAATGTAGTCGTGCTAAGATTATCCTTTTAAAAAATAATGAGACGAGCCTCGCCAAATAAAAATGCAAATTGCGGGGCCCTCAATAATTGATCATAATAAATATTTAGAATTTGGGATGGACTGTTTAGTGAATTTCACTGCCTTCCCAAAGACAATAACGCGTTAGACTCTTTAGGCGCGACTTAATTAAATTATATTCTTAAATTCGGATGCGCATTTATGTGACCCAAATTCAAATCTCGACGGAGTCGAAATGTGTTAACAACTACGGGTGCATTGATTGTGACGTGGTTCGAGATGCATTTTCACGACGTTGCAATTCTATAAAAATAAATGATAATAATAAAAGCGGTTTTAAATTCAATAAAAGCACATAAGTCACAACATGTATTTAAATCAGATACTTAGCCATTATAACAATTTAAGCGACCGTGCTAGAACCACGGGATTCGAGGGTGCCTAGCACCTTCCCTCGGGTCAACAGAATTCCTTACTTAGAATTTCTGGTTCGCAGACTTCATTTGGAAAAGTCAAAAATTTCCTCGATTTGGTATTCAAGATAAACCGGTGACTTGGGACACCAAAAACCAAACCTTTCCCAAGTGAAGATTCTTAATTAAATAAATAATCCCATTTCGAATATTGTCACTTAAATTGAAAAAAAATCCCTCACGCATCACTTTGCTGCTTTGCAAGTTCCAACATCCCTTTTGCATGGATCCCATAACTTTTTGTCTTTTACGTTTATTTGTTAATTGTTGATTTGGTCTTGTGTATATTAGCTGTAATATTTTGCTGGAAATTGATAATATGTGTTTATTTTTCAAATTATGGATTTGAAATCGAGTTTTGTGTTCTAGGTATTCTCAAGTACCAACTAAACAGAGAAAATTGTACGATAATTGCCAGGTTTGATGTCGAAGGGTTCAAATTGAGACTCCAACATTGATATTTCTCCTAGGGTAAGTTCGTAGTTTTCCTCTTCGTGGTCTAAATTACTGGGAAACATCAACTTACATTACTGTGATTGTTTCCTTTTAAATTCTAATTTAATTTCAAGAGATATGTTTATTTTCTTGCAATTTCTCGAAGAATTAGAGTCAGTGGTAAAATGATCTAATATAGGAAGTGGTTTCAGTAGTGTATTGTGCTTGTGATATAATTTCACCTACGTTTTGCAAGTCTTTGAGTATCCTCAGTTGTTTTCTATATCTATACAGAATGTCTTCTAAACCAGCCCCTTCCCTAATTATAAGGTGAAGGAACCCAAATAAATAAAATAAGTTATTGGAAAGGCTCAAAATACAAAATAAATTGCAAGGAAATGAGATTCTCTTTAGATCTCTCCATCCGGTATTCCATCTTTTGCCAGAAATATCTTAAGATTCAATTTGCTGTATGTGAATTCAATATCAAACTTTTATTCACGATATGGTATCTTTATTGCAGTAATGTTTTGCTTGCTTTTCTCCCTGATTTTTCTGTTGCACTTCTATTTTCATTTATTTATTGATGTAGTTTTGAACATTTCTCCATCTTCTTTATCTACGCCTGTATATTACTGATGTTTAATCTTTTTTATTTCAGTTTCACTATGTTGTGATAGTTATACCTACGTGTGTTCAGCATTTCAGACTCCGGCAAGTATTGCTCTTCTATTGGCTTTCATTTTTTCCTTTATGTTCTTCCTATTAGGTATAGATTGATATTCCCGGGTCTATTGTTCTCTTTTAGATGGTAGCGCATCAAATTTCTTTTACCATTTTGAAGATGTCAGTTTTGAAATAGTCATGTTGTTTTAGCTTTTGTTGATTACGCATTTACTTACTTTATTCATTTCAGATCTTATCGATCATATTTGGATGCACTTCTGTTTTGAAAGGTACTGTAGATTGTGCTAATTCTGATTATTTATGTTTGATATGATGGTATATTCATAGGTAATGCACTGATCTTTTAATGTTTGACAATTTTTCTCTGTTATCTCTACCTTATTTATGAATATGCATACTTATCAATAGCGTGTGATACAGTAATTGCATTCTCTGTATTAAAAAGAATGGCAAAGATTTGGAAAGCACCTGAAGCATGGTTTGAATAATTCTGAGACTTTGTATATTGGAGATGATATATGAACTTTAACTTTGTATAGAAAAAACACTAATCGGATGAAAATTTTGAAACTGTTGACAATTGAAAACTACTTTCAGTTTCAGGAACGTGATATATTTACTCTAAATTTATATGATATTTGAATCTTTGTTGGTGTTACTAAATAGATATTTATATTTTGGGTAGAGGATGCCAGATTTATTGCATTTGTATGTTCAGGTTGGGGGCTCTCCTATTTTGGTGCCCAAATGCCATGTTTCTGTAGCTTTCAGTAGAATTAAAGTAAAGCTTCATCATTGTATTACATGATTAGTTTTCTAAAGTTGCTAATTTAGCTGCTAGCACGTGATATACAGATTTTATTTTACTTTTTTTGTTGCAGAAAACAACAAGAAACGTGCTAAAAACCATAGAAGAGTTCAATAATTCAGCATTGAATTCAAGAAGAATGAATTTTGTGATGTTATGAAACCATATAGATAGTTATGAATGTCGTGACTGAAGATATTGAGGATCTACGAAAACTTCTCTATTTGCAAGTCTTCTTCTCCTTTTCCTATGTAGGCTCTTTAGCCCTCTAACAATGATATTAGTATTTGATTGTGTAAATTGCATTTTCTTGTAGAGTATAAGGCACTATTATATTCTTTATGTGATCAGTACGATCGGAAAATTGCCCTTGTGAGAAAAGACATCCACTTGCGCATGTTGAAGTATTTGAGATTTAGCACATCTTCTAATATTGTACTTCATCAATATTTAAAAAGCGAGAATTGTTTTCAGTTGGATCAGCTCCCTCTCCATTGATGGCTAAATTCATATGTTTGTTATCTAATGATCCAATAAACAAATGGTTAGATATAAAAAAGTTTGTAGCAATTCTGAAATTTCTGGAATTGATACGAGTGAAATTGGAATTCGTTATAAGGGGTAAGGTGTGCAAGACTTCGGCCTATTTCTCTTTCTCATTCTATATGAGTTGATCATATCTATTTTCAATGTTGGGCCGTGCTTTGCACGGGCATCACCTTACTAGTATGTACTAAGTTGCACTTAGGAGGCGTGACTGAAACCCAAGCATGAAATATTATTTGGAATCTCCAAGTTTGGCCGATATCCATAAATCTCCACTTTTAATACCAATTAAATCTCTTATAAGGTAGATTTTTGCATCATTAGTTTAGTTTCAGAATCGTGCCAGTTGATCTTTCTTGGTCCTAAAAAGACGAGATATTTTGCAAGGTCGATTTTGCATGGTGCATTGACGCGTCAAACATTTCTTATGAACCAGCTGAAACAAATACACGCCCACACTCTCCGAAATGGCACCGACTTCACCCAATTCTTGATTACCAAGCTTGTTGAAATCCCAAACATACCGTATGCCCACAAAGTGTTCGACAATATTACCAGACCAACTGTCTTTCTCTACAACAAGCTCATTCAAGCCTATTCTTCTCATGGCCTTCCCAGCCAGTGTTTTTCTCTCTATATCCATATGCGCCGGCAAGGCTGCTCCCCTAATCCACACTCCTTCACTTTCCTCTTCGCCGCATCCACCAGCCGTTCCATCCCCATACAAGGCCAAATGTTCCATGTCCATTTCATCAAATGGGGTTTCAATTTCGACATCTACGCTTTAACTGCACTTGTTGACATGTATGCTAAAATGGGCCTGTTGCCTTCTGCGCGAAAGCTCTTCGACGAGATGGAAATGAAGGATGTGCCCACTTGGAATTCTTTGATTGCAGGGTATACCAAGAATGGGAATGTGGAAGAAGCTTTCAAGTTGTTTTCAGCAATGCCTTCAAGGAATGTGATTTCCTGGACAGCAATGATTTCAGGCTATTCGCAAAATGGCAAGTATGCGAATGCATTAACTGTCTACAAGGAAATGGAGAAAGACAAAGGAGTAAAGCCTAATGAAGTCACAATTGCTAGTGTGCTTCCAGCTTGTGCGAATCTTGGGGCGTTGGAGGTTGGGCAGAAAATTGAAGCTAATGCAAGGGCAAATGGATACTTTAAGAATATGTTTGTCTGCAATGCTGTGCTTGAAATGTATATGAAATGTGGTAGAATTGATAGGGCAATGCAACTCTTTCACGAGATTGGTAGGAGGAGGAACTTGTGTTCTTGGAATACCATGATCATGGGGTTAGCTGTCCATGGAAAAGGTGATGAAGCTCTTACGTTTTTCAACCAAATGCTAGTAAGCCTTTGCAAATATTCCATTCGTTCTTTGAACATCCAAATTACAGCAAGCACGAATTAGCTTTTATAGTGGAATTCATATTATTGTGCTACTGTTGATACAGGGAGAAGGAAATGCACCTGATGATGTAACGTTTGTAGGAGCAATCTTAGCATGCACACATGGAGGCATGGTAGCAAAGGGCTGGGGACTCCTCAGCTTGATGGAGCAAAGATTCTCCATAGTTCCAAAGTTGGAACACTATGGCTGTATGGTTGATCTCTTAGGCCGGGCTGGAAAGTTGCAGGAAGCTTATGATCTTATAGAGAGCATGCCAATGACACCTGATTCGGTTATATGGGGAACTCTGCTTGGAGCCTGCAGCTTCCATGGCAATGTTGAACTGGCTGAGAAAGCAGCCGAGTTCCTTTCTGTGTTGGAGCCGTGGAATCCCGGAAATTATGTTATTCTCTCAAACATCTATGCAAGAGCTGGCCGATGGGATGGTGTTGCAAGGTTAAGGAAACTGATGAAGTCCTCCCAGATTACAAAAGCAGCAGGGTACAGCTTCATTGAGGAGGGAGGTGATATTCATAAGTTCATAGTAGAGGATAAATCCCACCAAAAATCAAAAGAGATATATGCATTGCTTGATTTAGTCACGACTATATTAAAGTTTGATGAAAGCACCATTGATATTGATTTGGATTCTATTGTCGAATAAAAAATTTTGTGATAACCTGAATAGTTTTTGGACCTACATTTCTCATTCCTATTATGTCTAGAGCAACAAATGATTCCTGCTCCACCTGCTCAATATTATGCAAAACCTAATGTAACTAAAACTTGGTTAACATTTTAAGCTATACATGTTTCTGAAACTCAGGGGATTGTAAGGCTTTGAAATGTACAGCTTTCTCTCTCCAAAAGAGGGAAGAAAAGAATAGGGAAAAAACAATAGCTTTTGGTGAGGAGATGCATAATTTCAAGCACACATCAGAAAAGGTCGCCTTAAGTTCATCTACTGTAAGATGGCAGAATCAATAATAAATGAATAATACAAACATTCTAGTGATACATGAAACCCTCTTAGAAAGGATCAGGGGGAAAAAACACCAGGTTTTGCTTCGGAACCCTTGAAATTTTTTATAACAAAGACCACCCAATGCATGTGATCAAAGGCTCTATATAGCTAGCAGAGTTCCTAAACATATGTTACTCCAAAAAGGTTTTTGTATTTCCGAACAATATACATTTAATACCCACCTAACTTGCACATCAGCTCAAAGCAAACATCCTTTAATCAATAAATCGAGCATTTCCGAGATGAATACGTTATGCAGCTTTTAGTTTACTTCTCCATCTTCTTCTCCTCCCCACAAATTTGAGGACTTCATCAATAAGAATAACTGGGGCAGAAAGCAAGATGACTAGCAGCCATTCACTTCGGCTCAGTGGGACAATACCAAATATATCTGCTAGGAATGGAGTATAGAGTATCAGGCAATGTAGGCCAAACGAGACTGACATCGCAACAAGAAGCCAAGGGTTTCTCCAAGGTGGCATTTTGATCAAGCTGTTGTCTTCAGAGAGGGCATTGAGAGAATTAAACATCTCAATTGCCACCAGGACAGAGAGTGACAAAGTCATGGCCTTCACTTTACCAACACTAAAGTAGTCACAAGGGTGTGAAAATGTAATCAGGCGGTTACCAGCCGTGAATGGACTCACGGTGAAATTTGGCCATGCGGAGCATTCACCCCAGTTGCGAAGCTGTGATAGTTCAACAAGTGTGTGGCCATCACTCACAAGATCAATACCAAGGAAAGAAGCCTGAGTATACCACACTATAAATATGCCGACCGTTGCAATGCCCACATAAGAACCAATGACCTGAAAATATCACAGAAACCAGAATGTAAGATGCAGCTTAGCTTGTCGAGAAGTTTACTCAATATATTGAAGATCAGATGTACATGTGAAAAAAAGTTATAGTTGGTTGCTTAGATAACAGAGCATCTCATTTCTCTCTTTGGTGCATCCACTTCTTTTATTAAGCAGCTTATAACAGTTGTTTCTTATGCAGGGAAGTGATCTAGATGGATAAACATATTTTCCTTGATTGCACTGTTATTTTTGGAGAATATATAAGCTGAATGGTAGAGCTGATTTTTTATAAAGTATAACAGGGGTGAACCACATCGCCAGGTAAATGCTGCAGCACGCACAGCCTGTGCCGTTGATACTTCTAGTCAAATGAGGCCTTCTCAATCACTAGTACTTTCTTCACATACTTATAGGAGAATAAAGTGTAAAAAAAACTTGGGGAAAAAATGAAAGAAATAAAGCAGATTTATTTCTACCCATTGGAGAAAATTGAAGAAGTAACTTATAGACCCTTGTGGTCCGCCCCTCCCCCGACCCTGCGCATAGCGGCAGCTTAGTGCACCGGGCTTCCCTGAAGAAGTAACTAATAGAACTTAGAGGGGGAAACTGGAAAGAAATAGTGATACCATATAGCGGAAGAAAACCCAGGAATTTATGAGAGCATCATTGCTCTTCCTAGGTGGTTTCTGCATTATGTCAACATCAGCAGGGTTAAATCCAAGAGCCGTAGCAGGTGGGCCATCTGTTACCAAATTTACCCAGAGCAACTGCACGGCTATCAAACATTCTGGTATGCCCAAAGCAGCAGTCAAGAAAATGGAGATGACCTCACCAACGTTGGATGATATCATATATCTGCACCAAAGAATAATAAAGATGAAATTAAGGAAGAAAAATGCATGATTAATCCAGGAATAATCAAATACTCACTACCAGAATCACAAGACTAACCTGATGAAGGCCTTCATGTTATTGTAGATCGAACGTCCCTCTGCAACAGCAGAGACTATAGTACTAAAATTGTCATCTGCCAGAACCATATCGGAAGCTTCTTTTGCAACCTAAACATATTATTCTCTGATCAGCTAATTAATACAATGACCAATAAGTTGACATATTTAGGAAAACTTCACATGCAGGGTGGACAATCATGGTTACTTCTGAAGATTTAGATGGTAAACTTAGTGACATAGCATGACTAGCAATCCCTCAGAAGACTTCAGTACTCTCCTATTTCAAGAGTATTTTAGGTAGTCAACGATCAAATAATTGCACTGGGAGCATTAACGCAATAATTCAGAAAATGAGTTGTAACAACTACACAAAAAAAGTTTATTTTCACCTCAGTTCCTGTGATGCCCATGGCTATTCCGATGTCAGCAAGTTTTAGTGCAGGTGCATCATTGACGCCATCTCCAGTCATTGCAACAACTTCACCCATTTCCTTCAGCATCCTTACAATTTCTTGTTTGTGCCTGGGTTCAGCACGAGAAAAGACCTTGCCTCCATCTTTTGACAATATCTCAATTTGTTGCTGAGAGGAAAGTGCCATGAACTCTTTGCCAGTAAAACTACTCCCTCTAAGATTCTCACCATCAGAAAATAACTGAATTTCCCTGCAAACAGCCTCAGCTGTGGATTTATTATCTCCAGTTATAACCATGATTTTTATCCCAGCTCTTCTACAGTCATTTACTGCCTTGTGAACTTCCTCACGTGGGGGGTCCTGCATTTCATTCATTTACTTAAGAAAATGAAGGTTTTCTAGTTAGTTATTTATTATTCTTGGAAACTTAAAAGTACTCACCCTTAGACCAACAACTCCTACAAAAACTAGATCACTTTCTATGGAGGAGTAGCAGGATGGATCAAGCAGCTTCTTATGGGCAGGATGAGTCTCGGCATAATATCCTGAAAGCTCGCCCAAATCATCTTTATATGCCAAGCCCAAGCATCGCAGACCCTTTGAACTCATCTGCAAGTGTCTCAACAACAATAGTTGACGACAGGACTCGTCAATGGGAACAGTTGATCCATCTGCAAGTTGAACATATGTACTACGTTCTAGCAAACTCTCAACAGCACCCTAGACAAAACAAGTTTTAATCAGAAATGCACAGATTACCAAGCTCAACTTGTGAACAAGTGATCATTCAACATCAATGGAGAAAAGCTAGGCATTTCCTAAAGTGAATGACATTGCTACGGAACTAAACTCCGGAGAAGCATCTTTGGCAGAAAGAACAGATAACACTTCAAACTGTTGATACCCACTTTCGGAAACTGAAGAACATTAATAAACAGTTAAGCTGCCACAGCATTTAGTAAGGATTAACATTGAACCTACTCCTAGAGATGAAGATAATGCAGACTCAGTCTCTTGCTAATTGAAATTTTTCTAGGCATATACTGCCTACAGCACATCAACAAGATAAAAATAAGAACTTTTCTGGCTAGCTGGGTATATCGAAGCCAACAGTCAAATAAAGAAAAATATTTTAGAGACCAATTATCTCTAGTCTCTAATGTAGTTCAGAAACCAGTATATTCAAAATAAAAATATGTGATCACACTGATCTCATTACTATCTATGTATCATAAATGACATGAAATAACCTTGACAAGTAGTCGATTGCTCCCATTTAGCTCCCGCACAATAACACCCATGGATTTGCGAACACGATCAAATTCCAATGCTGCAACCCTTTTTGATCTTTTCATCCACCATTCACAGCATCCTATATTTTTAAAAAAACAAAAATAAAATAATAATAATAATAATAATAATAATAATAATAATAATAATAATAATAATAATATTAACACTGGTTTGAAATAGTAGAAACTAGATAGATGAATGAAGTAAAGTTATGGTCACCTAATTTAACGGTGTTGCGATCAATCAAATAGCTAGATACAATCTGTGCATCGCGGATCTTGCTTCTCGCTTTGCTATCTGGTACTCCCATCTTTTCCACCAAAACTTTAAGAGCTGCCTCAGTAGGCAATCCAGTTGCTTTGAACAGACGACCATCGCAGAAGACCCCAGCATCATTGCAGATTGCACATATTTCAGCCATAACTAGCAAGTTAGCATCCATATTGTAACAATTCCAGTCAATTATTCTCCCATCCTTAGGATCATACGTAGTTCCTTCGACGCTAAAAGTTCGCCAGGTTGTAGTTTTACCTCCCAATGTAAAGAACTCTGTCACAGACATCTGATTGGTAGTCAAGGTTCCTGTTTTATCTGAACAAATCACAGTTGTGCATCCTAAGGTTTCCACACTTGGAAGTTTCCGCACTATTGCGTTCTTTTGTGCCATTTTCCTTGTACCCAGAGCTAAGCAAGTAGTAATTACAGCAGGGAGACCTTCAGGAATTGCAGCCACTGCAAGAGTAACAGCTATCTTGAAATAATATGTGCATTTCTCAAATGAGAAACGGACATCTGAAGGCCATCCATCCACAACCTTCCAGGTAAGGAAATATCTGTAGTTGATCGCCCACACGACTAGGCAAACAATGCCAATAGCAGATGTAAGCCTATTACCGAATTCATCAAGTTTCTTCTTCAAAGGGGTGTCGTTCTCTTCCATTGATGCATCATGGATTTGTCTTTGGATCTTACCAATTTCTGTGCACATCCCTGTGTCGACAACAATGCAGATGCAGCTACCATTCACGACTGTAGTTCCAGCAAAAACCATGTTCTCTTTGGCCTGCAATTCACAATCATCCATAGGAAGGGAATCGATGCTTTTAGTAACGGGCATCGACTCCCCCGTCAAAGAACTTTGCTCAACCCTTAGGGTTGAGGATTTTAAAGTGGCAACTCTCATATCAGCTGGCACTTTGTCACCAACTCGCAGATC